CCCCAAAACCCCAAAACCCCAAAACCCCTTAAACAATGTCTATAGGCGTTATAAAAATATCAAATATTGCTTAATTTAAGAATGGAAGAACTTTAATGCAAATTAAATTTATAAGGATTAGATTTACAATTAATGTAGTTGATATTGGACTTTCTTTTCTACCAAATATTTAACAAGAATGGTTGAAGAGCAATTAAAGGGACAAGAAAGGATTCTCTATGAATAATCTTGTTTATAGAGCTCCATACTACACTGCTTACTGATTCAAAAATGAACACTTGTCTGTCTTTGTTCTGACTACTTTGCCTTTTCCAAAAATACCTTATAACTTACTGAAGAAGTACTATACCTCTTTTAATAATTCGGAGTCGGGTTAGAAGAGAGATTTAGAGCAGAGACAGATTTATTATTTTGATCTTAAGCTGCTAGTTTCTTGGTAAGCATTGCTTTAAACAGATTTTTACGCCTAGGCACCATAGTCGATTGGGATTTGCTATAAGCCATTCCAGATTTATGTTAAAATTCATCTCCGTTAGATACTCTAATATCTTTATTTGACTTTGGACTGCCTGTTTTATCCTCATCCAATTCTTTCAGTCTTTTCATATCTATTCTTGCTTGAATAATTTTGTAAGACAGCGGTTAATTAATCAATTAACGATAGGCATCACTATTCTTATCCAGGTTTAAAGCCGAAACAGGATTTTCAGCAATCTTTTGGAATTCACTAACTGGTTCTTAGGTTTTTTCTTCTTCCTCTGGATCACGATTCCATTTCTTTAGAAATATACTTTACATATAAATGGACTTAACCCCATTGTCCGGATCTGAACTTGCAATGTTACCTTGTCTCCCTGCTTAGGTGTTAGATTAATTATTAGATAGGACTTGCTATTATCTTGTATAAAGATGTTTTGTAAATCTTCTTTTTTCCATTCTTTTTCGCGCCGCCTCTCTTCCTTCATCTTCAATTTCCTTGGTTGAAGTGTTTAGACTTGTTTTCTTAGAATTGTTTTTGCTAAATGAAGGAAGAGATTGTATTGTATTGAGATTCCTAATAGATGAATCCTTTTAGATATCAATTTTATCTCTTGATTAACTTAAATCATGAGTGGACTCGTGATGTTTATTAGCATGCTTGTTCAAAAATTTAAGGCCTCCAAATGCAGTTGTTTTACTTTTATGTTTTTCAGTCATATACTATTTTTTCTCATGTTTAGCAGAATTATTCATAATGTCAGGAGATTTAGATAATAGAGATTTCTACATCAGTGGAGGTTTTTACATTCCAGGGAAATTCATTGGACTCCTTACTGATGTTTATAATATAAGCGTTTCTGGAATGGTTAAATTGGAAGAACTGGATATTCTCTTGTCATTATTATTAAACGATCCCATAATTTATCCTTAAACTGTACCATTGCTAGGATTGTTTGATGAATGCTTTTATAGATCTGAAAATCCTATTTGAGACTTGATAGAGAACCGTTATGCACTTGTCATCGATTGCATAGTCCTAAGTTCAGAAATACTTGAAGTCTATTTTTTTAAACCTCCAGTTAAAACACTTATTCTCTTTCCTACATCTGGTTGAAGGTAAGAATCGTTTTGTTGTAAAATAGGCTATTTAAATTTTGTCATCGGGGAACTTTCAAATTTAAAATCCTCAAAAGTTTTATTCTACATAGTAGCCATAGATTATCTTTTATGGGAATTTGTCTCATCTTCATCCTCATGTAATTCCTCTACTATATTGCTCATTCTCTTGATTTCACCTAATGGGATGCTTAGATTTGATTTGATAAGATTTACTTTAATAGGATTGCTAGCTTCTACTTATTAATTATTATTAATTCTAAGGTCATCTTGACTAAAATATCCTGCCTCATTATAATCTTTAGCTGATTCTTGGCTATTAAGGTTTTGATTTTGCGAACTTTTCGGAGTACCTTCTATTTAAGTAATCTACTCCTTTTGAATTAGTAAAAGTAATGCTTTGTGAACTCGATAGTTTTTCTTTTTTTTAGTTACTCTTCGCTACAACAATCTTTGCTTTTATTTTAGATCCATATTAAAAAACTAGGAGTCATCTACATTATCGCTTTTTCTATCTGTAAGCTATCTATGCTAAATGTCTTATAGGGAATTATTGAATAGAATATAATTATCCTAATTATAATGCAATGTAACCTCATTCAACTACTTTGATTTACTCTCTACAATGGGAGTAATATTAATTGATATTTTTTAATCTAGATCAGTCATTGATCTATTTTAAGCAGTCTTTGCTAATACTTTACTTTTAATCTAATGATTGCAATCGCTGCACATTCATCTAAAATTAAGTATCCTAGAATTTTCACAAATTATACAACTTTCTTCTATTTTTTAATTTGTAATAATCGGATTTTGATGCAAAAAATTTGAAAGTTAATTAGTATTTTACCCTATCTATTCCTTGCTATCCTCTCTCTATTTCAGCACTGAATCAAGTGGTTGAATTAAATCTTTGGTATTTTAATCTTAATCCAACTTAATTAAGGAGTTAGGAGATAATCTTTATATCTTGAGTTTTTATAATCTTTATACTTAATTTAATAAAGAAAAGCCTCTTTCCTAAATATTTTGAAATGTAAATACTCTTGGCTGATTTGCTCTATCTTAATTAACTACACTACTTTATTTCAGCATATCATTGTTTGAGTTATTCTGCGGTGAGACTTATGTACTGAATGCCTTTTGTTAATTTCGAGAATTCCCTAATGGAAGCGGTGGTTTATTAGTATTAGGGGTCATCCTGCTTGAAGATATGGGAGTTAGACTGTCATTTTAAAGTTAATTTATTCGGTCTTTTAAACTTGGGTTATCCTTCATAATTGTTTCTATAAAAATATATAATAGTTAAATTTATTAAAATAAACATAATTCTTTATATTAAATTTCATTTTTTCATTACTAACTATCACTTGGGGTTTTGGGGTTTTGGGGAGATCGGAAGAGCGTCGT